AATCCTTTTATCGTAAGTCTTAAATCTCTTATTGTAATTGTTGATAAAATATAAAAAATCCCAATATCATCAATATAATCATCGTCATCACTATCATTGAAATCATTATACACCTCCGTTCTGATTTTAACCTGTTGCTTATTTTTCCATATTGTATAGAAATTGTTGCGACTTATAATTTTCTGCACAAAGTTAAAAACAAGACAAAAAAAATTTATAGTTGAAAATAATATTTTAAATAATAATTTTAACACCTGACATAATGTGTTTACGCTTAGAGCATAACATCATCATCACAGCAAGACATTTTATGTTTCTTTTTTAGGACCTCATCACAGAAATCGCATTACTAAGACTTGTCTGAACGAAAATCGTATAAAGAAAATCAAAAATAAAAATAAGAAAAATTTTTTAATCTTTTGCGACCACCTTGGTGGGTTGTAGTCCGTTTCGCAAGGATGAAATTTCCTCAGACACTTTAAGCATGTTTAGAAGAAAACTAACTTCTTCATATAAATATATTTGATAAAAATAAAAAAAAAAAGCTCATGACACCCATATTTGTTAATAAAATTTAAAGCCGAAATAGAATTTCTGACTTGTCGAAGCATTATCGGAAAATTGTTGAAGTTCTTCTATGTATGTTGTTATTTTTATAGGGCGTATTGACCAAACATTAACTTTTCAAAACTATGTAAACTAGTAGTACAAAATGGTTCCAAAATTTCCATTTTTGTATTTGCTATATAGGAAAGTTTTTTTTCGACCACGCGATCTGAGCATTCTTTGATTCGAGTTTAGAGTGCCGAAAAAAACGAATGCAGATCTGAATCTAATTTGAATTTTGGCCGTTCTGAAGCTGAGGTAAAAAATCAAAACGTCACAGTTTAAATTTATGTCTTTCTCTTTTTCGACGATTAAACGATGAAAAGATTAAGTCGAACAAATGTTAACTGCCTCATACAAATTAACTAAAAATTATTAAAAAAAATTTAAAATAAAAATACCTAGTTACATCTCCGTAAAATGAATATTAAACGAACATGCGTTTTACAAAAATGCGACAAAAATGGGATGATCGGATACTTTTAGCCAAATTATTACTCTATTTCCTGGTTTTCATCTGATTTGAACGTATGTCGGCAACAAGAATATAATGTGTTGAATTATCAATAGTGTAGTAGTAAGACAAATTGGATATCTAATGGTTTATTTTCCTCAGAAATCCAGAAAGTGTCTAGGGCTGTAGTTCTGTTCGTATAGTCTCTTACATTTTATGTTTTTCCTTCTTACTTTTTTAAATTTTCAATGACACATTCTTATATTGCAAAATTATTCAACCACCTGTTTACTTAACATTTTCCTTTCTCTAATCAATTTGATGAAAATCTTCATTTAAAAACGGTGAGATTTCAGTTTTGTTTCTTCATATTTGACATGATAATAAAATTCATATGAAGTTCAGTTAAAATTCGGTAACTAAAAGCCCATAAAGATTGATATTGTATAAAAATTATTTTACTTTTTATGTAAATTATTTTGAAAATTAAGAAACTTGCATAAGGTAGTAATCTTAGTTGAACATATATATTTATAGCTCGGGGCCATGGCCCTGCATTAAAAGAGGTTACTCGATTAATTTAATAAGAGGAAAGCAAGCAGGAATAGAAATCAATCATAACGTTTTCGTATTATTTCGATATTTCGAATGTCGAGGAAGAGTATGGATGATCGGTTTTGGATTACTATAAATATGTATACACTAAATATTATATTGTACATGTCTTCTTTCACTCACTTTTACTCACTTTTTCTCTATAGCAAAACCATCTTTGCATTATTTATCTTTTTATTATTTTATATGAAATACAAAACTATCAATTTCATTCGCAATTGACAAGCGTGTAATTGAATTTAAAAACTTTTCAATTAGTATAAAGAAAAAAAACAATGTTTTTTATTGATCCTTTGGTGTATTGAATGCGCCAGCCGGGCCTATTGGCGGCATTTCATTTAAACTTAAGAGAAAACTTGTACAAAAAATAGAAAACAAGAGAAGGGGAACAAAATATAAGATTAGTACTGTATAATTGATAGGTACAAAAATATTGATTTAGAGAATATTTCAATGATAAAGAGAAAAGAAAAAAATGAAAAAGAGTTGAAGAATATGATTTTGTGTTAAACGTTGACACAGGTGGAAGGTAACGTTAGTTTTGATAGTCTCTTTCAAATATTTATTAGACATTTTTATTATTTCAAAGATTTTAAAATTAATTTTCAACGATTACATTAGAAAGTTATTGAAATGCATTTATCCATGATATATTTTAGTTCTTAAACAAATTCTTGATTATTTGGATTAGTGTTTAAATTGAAGTTTGATAATTATATAAGGCACAAAATATATAAAAACACTATGAGTATGTGAAAGATTCGCGACCTTATATGAGCAAAAATAAGCTTTTCCCATCAGTCACAAAAAAAAATAAAATTCATTGTTTAGCAAAACCTTGCTAATTATTGCAGAAAAATGAATAACGAAATGTTGCAATTATATAAAAAGCATAATAATAGTGTAGCATAACATGACTATGCAAGGTCTCTTGAATTTTCGTTTGCGTTTTTGTGACTCTTTCAATTTTTCTTTTGCATGCTTTTTATGGTTTCATTATTGTTCAAATATCGAGCAGTACAAATAATGTAGGAACTTCTCTTCATCTAATTACATATTGGAAATATTCATTTTTGAAAAGGGTCCGAAAAATATGTAATATAGGTAGCTATGTCTAATATAGTCTACAGTTGTTGCAAAACGCTTCACCTAGGCTAGATTTAGTAAAATGTCAAAATGAATATGTGAGCATTTCCAAGTATGCAAGAATTATTTATTGACATATTGGATTCATTAAGAAATTATTTTTGATCATAATCTATAAGTAATTTTTATTAGTTTATGGAGTTGATCCAAAAAAAACAATTACTAATTTCAGAATCATTAAACAAAGCTTGCTTAAATGTTATATAAGAACTCAAATATTTTGCTTAGTCTATATTTAAAGAACAACATATTATTTTAATAATTTTCATTTTATTACACAACAAAACACTTCAAAATTTTCAGATATCAGATAAGCTTATTTTATTGCTATTATTAAAATTTCAAATTGCAACAAAGTTGCAATAAAGTTATTTACGGTACATACTTAAACAAAATTAAATTTTTTTATTTACATTTATGTAAAAATTTTGTATATAAATTATTTACGCACACACATATATAGTTTATTTTTATTTTAACAATCGATCAAAACTAATACATTAAAACTATTTTTTTTAAATTTATTACAATTACATTTAAAAAGCTCTAATTTACTCCCCAATTCCTTATACATACGCAAGAAAATACAATCACATTTTCTTATTCATTATGTATATTTGATAGTAGTCCAAGTATATAAGTGCGATCTGGAGGACTGGCATGCGGTAAAGCGAATCAAAATAGTTTTGGTAACCATTTATAAAATATTTACTTTTATGTGACTGTTATTTACCTGGCACATTCTATATAAGTATTGTAAAATTAGTTTATAAGTATTTTTGATCAATACAGTCACATTTTGCATTCAAATAGTATCGATTTCATTAATATGCTTATGTGTGTGTTAAAACTTAATAAAATCGGTATAATTTTGTTTTTGAATTGAAGTTGCAACAAATAAAATGTTTGTTTATATTTTTCTTAACAGTTGGAACAAGAGAATTCTACTTATAAGATCATTGCGTGAACACTTGTAATACCTGTTTTGAATCACTTACAATTGTGTATATAAAAGAATTATGAAAACAACAAAATTGCGGGAGTTTTCAATATAACCAAAACCTTATTATTTTTGCAATGTAAAAATTGGTTTTACTCCGACGGTATTTTATTTGCAAGATTGGAATGATATTTTGTTTAACTGGTATTCATTTATGTATTCATTACATATACATATATACATTCAATTTTTATAACGTGTATCAGATGAGAAAATATTATTGTAGGTGTGTGATCTCATAGTTTTTAATAACAAAAATCGTAAAATCAAGTCGCTTATAGTAAATGTGGGTACAATGAATAAAGGAAAAAAAAAAGAAGTCCAACTTTATGAGCTAAGAAAAAGGTTTAACTTAAACTTTTTGAGAATTTTGTGTAACTTTCAGTATTCTTTATGCTTTCTAAGGTAGAAGATGTAACTATGTAACGTTTGACGGTTTATTCTTTATTATAATTTTCTTGTATTATTGAAGTTTATATGTACGTATATAGTGTATTATAACGTTATAACGGGATAATCGCGAATTAAAACTTGTAATAATATCGTGTATTTTTTTTTGTAATTATTATTAATGAAAATATTTAATCATTTCCAAATAAATATAAAATGTAAAAATTTGTAAGATTTATTAATCAATTTTATATACAAATTATTAAATGAAGTATGAGAATTATTTTTCATAATTTGAAAATAAAAGGCAATATTGTATGACAAATAAAATTGTGAATATTTTTAAATTTTTTAATTTATAAATTTGGAAATTTTATATAAAAAAGAAGAGGCTCTTTAAAAGTTTGAAAAAAGTGGAGAATTGTCAAAGAATATTTGAAGAAAGTATCATTGTTTTATTTTCAGAAATATTGAGAATATTGAGAGCATGAAAGATCTCAAACAAATTAAAAAAAAATTATTGAAAGTTGTGTAAAGAAAACAGGATAATATTTAGGATTAAAAATTAAACCAGGATAATTATTTAGAATAAATTGGAAAATTCCGAAATATTTTTAATCTAACTAGTGACAAATACGTTTTAACTTTTTGCTTTCCTTAAGGTACCGGTCCAATAAATAAAATTTTTTAAGAACAATTTTTTTAAAAAAGGGCTTAAATTAAAAAAAAAATTTTGTATAAAATGAAAATGTTACATTTTGAATTCATTTTTAATTTATTAACAAGTTTGTGTAAAAATATTGTAAAAAATTAAACGAATCATAATTAAATATTTTTTAAATTATTAAATTGAAAAATTGGTGAAAATGAAAATGCTGGATATTACACTCAAATTAAAATGATTGTGTAAGTTAAAATAATTATTTTTTCATATTAAACATTTAAAGATTTAAAATTAATGGACTATTATTAGTACGGATAAAATATTATAAATTAAGTAGAAAAATTTGACATTTTTATTCCTCTACATCATGTGTTTGACATTATTTTAAAGGTTCTCTGAAAACAGCATTTAAAATAAGTGTTCAACTTTTATTGGGGCAACATTTTTATAGATTGATTATTTTATTATTGATTAAGTAAGAAAATGACGACGGACATTGCAATATGAATTTTTTTTCGTTAATTATTTTTAGTAAGATACGATGAATTGCTTTTGCTACTAGGATTTCAATTTTTAAAACAAGATCCATTCCAATCAAAAGCAATTGTGGGGCTTACCTAAAACATTTTTGTTATTTTTCAAGTATATTCAAATTTAGAAATCTAAAGAATGTCTGTGAGGTGGAATAAGAGAAATTCCTTTAGAATTATAGATAAAAATTTTATAAAAAAAAATAAATATATGTGGAAAAACTCAGATTCTCTCGATTTTTTAAATTAGTTAAATTTTGAATTCTTTAAATTTGCAACAAGTAATTATAATGGATTTGATAAAGTTCCTTTAAAAATCCAAAAATATTGCTATGCGTATGCTAGAATTGAAGAATACAAAAAGCATTTTACGCTCATTAATATTGAATTTTCTATTTAAGACTTGCTTCAGCCATATTGTACAATCAGCATTTAAGAAATATGTAGTAGTGAATGTTACAAAGAATACTTGACTTTTAATATTCTTGAATTTCAATACGATGTTTTATTTAAGCGACATATAAAGTTTAGGTGTTAAAAAATTTATGCGTTTATAAATATTGTGCATAATAAAGCATATAATAAATTTTAAATGCTCATTAAAAATAATTAAAGTGACATAAATTTTACATTAGTGATGTTTAAAGGAAACTATATGTGTATGATTGACAGCTTACAAAATTATAGCGTCAATATTCTAAATTAATAATTCATGAGAATTTTCTTATTTTAAATTCTATGATCGGAATGTTATTTATTTGGAAATTTCATTTATCTTGATATTTTATCTTAATTTATAAATTCACAATTTCACAATATTATAAATTAATATTATATTTGGAAATTTTAGTTTAATATACACATAACTAGAGCTTTAAAGTTTTTTTTCATTGAATAATTTCAAAATTCACTAATATTTGATTAAATATATGTGAGTATAAAAGTAAAAATGGTAATTTTCAATGATTTAATATTATAGTTGAATAAATTAAAATGCTCACAATTGTTTTAATGTTTGTTTTCTTTTCAGATTTTATGTTTGAGTTTTTGTAAATAAATTTAATGATTTATTTTCATTTTTTTTAATTTAAAATTTTAATATCGATTCCAAGTAACAATATGACGTTTGTGACATCAATGCAATTTTTCTGATATCCGACCAAAAAAGCTCTTCAATTTTACTTTTACTATGTTAATTTATTCTTGATAGTTTTCTGTTGTTTTATTTTTTTAATTTATTGTAAATCGTTAAGATGTCAATAAAATTACGTAGATTTAATTAATTATTTTTTTTTTAAATTTTAATCAACACAATAGAATAATCGAACTTTTATCTATATATTTATATGTTCATATAAACATGCATCTATAATTATTTTAGTTGTAGTTATATAACCTCGTCTTAATTTTTATTTATATGAGTATATAAGTATTTTGTTTAGTGAATTTCGTTGAATTTGCAGGCTTTGTAATAAAAAATAATAAATCAATAAAAAAAAATATTAATTATGTGGCTTTCAGGTATTTCTTTTATATTCGGAAATTTATGGATTTATTGAAAAAAAAAATTAAGATTTTTAAAAATCAATAATTTAAGCCCCGTCACATATAGTTATTATGAGAATAATTATTAGAGTACAAGTTGAATCGAAAGATTTAAGGGGGAAACTTGGTTTATGATTTCATTTAAGTTTTTGAATAAAAAAGGTGTATTTCTGAATATATAATTCCTAAATTTTTTTTGTTCTTTAATGTTCTACTTTTAATGATTTTAGGTAAGTAATTTTCTAGGAGTATACCTTTAGGTGAACATTGTACCTTGAATAATTAATTAATTTATTGCACAAATGTGGTAGCTTTTAAATTATTTTTGTTTCACAATAACAAAGAAATAAAAATATTAATCTAGATTACAAACTTCGACAAATCGAGGACTATTTAAATTCGTAGAGTTTCATTCGTAAACAAAATTGATACTATATTATAATAGATTATAAACGTGTACTGAGAATACAAATTCTAGTTGACTATTTAAGAGAAATCACAATTTTTGTATTTAGAATTTTTACATATTAGGTAGACATTAATTTGTCTATATTTTTAACTTGTAAGAGATCACAATAATCGAAGAACTATAAAAATAATTTTAAATTTTTAGAAAAAAACACTCAACAATTAAAAAGAGTTCCGTTAAGGTATTGAGTAAATTTTTTCTTTGATCAATTTGAAAACAACTTTTTGCAATTATTGCTCTTTATTGTCAAAAAAAAAAATTTCACTTCAACCAGGACCAATAATCAGCGGGTCATTGACAGGTTGAAACGTGAAATCAGTTTCCCGCATATGATCAGTATAGATTTATAAAATAATTCAATAACCTGAAAGCGTTGTTCGATTGCAAGTTCTTCTTGTATGTTTTAAACAATTAATGATTTTGGAATTTTAAAACTATCAACAATGTTGTACGATTAAGTAATTTGTAGCATTTATTTTTATTTTAAGTACATTTTTACAAAGAGTAACCAATTAAGATTAAACAATTTTTTGATAAAATTGTAATATTTTAAATGTCAGGTCTATTTATTAAATTAGATATAGGTATAAGGGCTGTTATAGAAAATAGTTTACTTTCTAGATATAGGTATAAGGGCTGTTATAGAAAATAGTTTACTTTCTGTTATCGAAATTTTAAAAATTAAATATTAATAAAGAGAATATTGGAAATTTCCAAATGGTTATATATTTTGACAATTATAAGTTTATAAATGAATACATAAATGTATCCTCTGTTTCATTATGTAATTTAGGAATTTAATTTTATTCGTCTAGTCTATAGTATTGTGCATGAGAATATTAATTTAGTATACACAAAACGTTAAATATTTGTGTACTCATTTTCATAGTTTTAGGAGAATGTTTTGTAATTTAGTTATTAAATTATTAATTTTAAAACTTAAGTTGTATCTGACTTAAACTTAAAGTAAAATTTTTAATTTTGCTGATATTCCAATATACGTACGTACAAATGTAGTTCAGAAATTATTTTTGAAAGAATATAAGTTAAATAATATTAATTATTGAATTGTGACCGTGTTAATTAGTAGTGCATTTCTTTCATAAAAATATATTGTAACACTTTCAAATACTCAGGACTATTTGGGAGTCGTTTTTCAATAGAATGCTGTTTAATTTTAAAAACTTTAAAAGTTAAATAAAGTAGATTTAATGTTCATTTTCCGAAAAAAATGTGCAAATCTATTAATCTAATATATTTTTCTTAATATAAACCGAGGTAGTTGGGTGTGACATATTTACAACCAAATTAAGCTAGGAGTTTATAAACCAGATGGATCTAATTTTGAATACTGCATGTATATGCTTTTAAATGGAATGCTATATAAGTATGTCAAACCTGTTTGAGAAATTTTTTTTATATTATTGTGTGTTTCATGTGTAAACTGTTAAAAACTTATGTTTGAGTGCTCGATGAATTTTTTGAGAGTTTCTTGAGGAATGTAACATATTTATTTAACAGTTTTCAATATTTTTAATCAAATTGGAATTATATTTTTAATTTTATTTTTTTATTTAGGTTATCTTTAAAAAGAAAATGGAAAATTAGCTTGCAAATTACCCGTTTACAGTTATTATTTTTTTGAAAATCTTAAATTCTTGACAAAATGAGAACACTAAAAAAATATTTTTTAGGGTTTTTATAAACTAAATATTTCGTAATTTGTAAAATGTGGCACACGTTATTATATTTATTTATTTAAATATTTTAGAACGTGATTTTATTGTTCTTTGATTCCAGGTGTATTTTTACATTAAATTTTCGTTTTCTAATTTTTTTTATATTGATGCATGCGATGTATGCAATGGCAAATTTTACTTTATCGTTTTTCCACTTATTTTATCTGCAAATGATTTATTTTCAGTAGTTTTATGTTATATTTGCAGATATATATATATACCTACATATGTAGTAATAGTTTAATGTAATAACGTATATTAAATCAAATGTAATTTCTTAATCTCATCTAATTTTTATTTAATTTTTTATTTAATTTTTTTTTTATTTATGTATTTTATATGGAATGGGAAATTATTTTCCTTTTATTTATTTTAAGAAAACGTTTATAAGCTTAAAAATATTGTTATCTTAATATTTTTTTCCAAGCTCTACTCCCACTATATTTATATTAACTTTAAATCAAAATTTTAAAAATTCATAGGGTGGTGAAAAATCTAGAAGAATGCCAACACGTTTAAATAGTTTACAAAATTAAATTAAACTATATTTGTACTGAGATTTCATAAGTATACTCTAATTTGATGTTTGCAATAAAATTGATCCCACGAATTCTGCATTGAACTGAAGTAAAAAAAAACTTAAATTTATTAACAAAAGAATACTTTCTCGTTTAACGTTTACTTTTACCACTCTAAAATATTGTTCAAAATATTTAAAAACAATTTATTTCTATAAAAAATTGCACTTCAAGTGTATACTAAAAAAGTGTTTTTATGGCCTAATAAATAACAATGTTGGTAAACTACCCAACTATTACATGAGAACTATGTATAAAAATTTGAAATATCAAAAAAAATCTCGAAAAAACTTTCAATTAGTTGAGTTTATTAATTGTTTGCTATGGATCAAGAAGTTTTAACTCCAAATTTCATTCTTGCAAGCTCTTGTTTGTGAAGAT